TGGTACTCTCATCCAGAGCTGACTGGAGTTTCGACCTACTTATAAATTAAAATTCAGTAATGTAGGCAATCTTTATAGCAAATACAACTTCGTTTCATCAGTTATCCCATCACAGAATGTTATATTGAAAACATATCGAAATTATACGCTACACTGTCATACTTCGAGACACGATGGGGGGTGTTGATAAGACCTAGGCGAGGTCGAAATTGTGTTCTATCCTGGATGAGAATTCCTTTTGGCAAAGCAAGGCTTTGCGAATTTAAATGGAAACGTAAAGTCTACTCATAGCATTATGGGAAGCTTCAACTACCCCTTATCACCTTAAACGAACTTGGATGAAGATACCTCATAAATGATTTACTGATAGTCTCGAAAACATATTTACAAATGAAAAATTAGATTATATTGTTCACTCCTTTTAATCATCCAAATTTCATAGCTTCTTACTTTTTATATTTCCTCGATATGTATTTTAATGATTCAACAGTGGAATTATTCACATTACATTGAATAAATTTATTGCCTCCACTAACTTTTGCTTTCCCAAAGTTGAGTTCCTATCCAACATCAAAGGCCCTTTTTTCTATACCAGCCCGAATGGAATTGACCCAGGACGTTGAATGATGAGAAGCTTACCAAGCTATTAGCTTCAAACTAATGAGACAAATTCAAACAAAATTAAACCACTACCTAACACCTTTGACGTGTGATACAATTTCGCTAGAACTTATCGTGGTTTTTGCCCTATCCGAAAACATTAACCTATTATTCTGGAATTTTTTGTCATTTTATTTTTCCTGTTAATCACGACTTTATTGCATTTTTGCACCCTTATGAAGCTTTCTCATTCATCCACATAGTTCCAAATCTGAGGAGGATCTTTTTTGTACTCATAAAGCATCTTGATAGTTTGAGATTCTGATTTTAAGACACCTAATATATCAACTTATTTTAAGGCCTTTTTAATTTTTTCCTTGTCTACCGCACTATAAGAAAGACTCTCGAGATGCCTTTCTGTGTTTAGAATGTCTTTTCTGATCATTTTTATAATACCACAATCCTCCTTTATCTCGGTCCTAGAGGGGACTTTATCTCTCAATACAAGGTCATCTTCACCACGATCAAAGCCTTATTGAACTCGGCTGAAATTTAATTCAGTCGCTAATCATTTTTAAATTTATTTTTAACTTTTATTTTGACATTCAGAATAGTCCTATATATTTTCGTATATTCTTTCCAGGTCAAAAACTCAGCATCCCGATTATTGCCACTATAGCAGACATCCTGAAGAAGAGCATGGCATTGTGTGAGATTCGCCGTATT